ACCAACGTACCCATCGAAAGTGCATGGGCCAGCAGAAAGAACGACTCGAACAGACACAAGGTTGTCCAAGGAATGAATGCGTCGTGTCAGTGATTCAATTGTTGACGTGTTTTCTGGTATTGCCGCAGCCGGCGTACCTCGACATGCCAAACGAGTCATCCGCAGCGTGTCATGGTCTTTGATTGTCTCGATTTGCATCCGATCTGCTTGGCCCAAAGCCCACTTCGCTCCGGAACCGCTGCTTCTGGCTCCATTGCGCCGGCCCTGGTGAAGGTGCCCTGTCTCTGCTTGGCATGGGCGCTTCTTTGCTTTAGCGCATGGTCGGGCGAAGCGAGCGAAGCGAAGCATCATGAGCCCAAGCCTGTCTGGTTGAGCTAGGACCATGCAGCTGCTCCGAACGCTCGCGCTGGCGATGCGACTTGGAGACCATGTCATGGCTGATGGGTGCTTGACAGAGGGGGGGGGTGGCATTCGTTGGTGCAGCACAAGGGACAGGCACCGCAGAAGGGCCGGAAATCCGCGAATGAATGGTTCTGTAATAGGTCGGCAGAGGCGAGCTGTGGTAGCTGTTCACCCGTTCTAGGGCACAGGGCGAGGCCAACAGCAACCATTGTTTCTTTTCGGGCTTCTCTCATGGCTGAAGTAACTCGGGGTTGCGATCCGAAAATTCGCTCTGCACCCTTGTCGTGCAGGGGTTCTCTTGCAGAAGCTAGCTGCGGCCATGGTAGCGACAACGATTGCCGCAGCTCTGCGCGGGACAAGAACGACGACGACAACACCAACAACACGAAGACGAGCGGTAGCCACAACAGAAGTAGCAACAAGCAACTAGATTAACCAGATCTATGACGTCAACACGATGCTGTCAGCAGCAATGACCATTGCTGCAAAGCGCGCCCGAGCACAAAGATCACTAGATCTCCCAGCGCCGGGCTCTCGCCTCTCTCGAAATTTCGGCTTTTGTTGGCCGGGCTTGCCTGTCAAGTTCACATTCAGATTCTCTCAACGACGCGGCTGAGGCTGTGCCAGGCATCTGCATACGTGCGCGTGGCGAAGATCGTGAACGGCAAGGCGCCGCGATGCGTCGCGGTGTGTCCTGCAGACTTTGATGTTCAGCCACGCATCCGCGTCCATCTCCCAGAGCGAATGATGTTTTCAGTCAAGGACCAGGCACACTGTGCAGGTTGCTACTGCAGCGAGGGGTGCTTCTGTACTTGGTCTAGTGTGCTTGGTGACGACCGTTTCCTGACAGGATGTGACAGAGAGGAGCTTCGAGGACGGGTCAGTGAAACCTGACAATGGAAGAACAGCCGAAACTCATTTGTCCATCCTTCTCTGTCGATTTGCAGCCAGCCAAGCACCCAATTCTGACACTACGTCGTACATGAACGTATCGGCGACGACATCTCTTTTTCTCGACGGTATAGCAGTATAGCTCGCGTGATCGACGCTTCCGCTTGCAGAAGGGCCGAAGGAGGATTGTGAGTGAGTGCAAAACTTCGGATCAGCAGTTTCGTTGTGAACCTGGTTGCTCGCTTCTGGTTGCTCGCTTGAGTCTTGTAGTGCCCTTGTGAGCATCGCAACAAAATGTCTGTGATCGACCGCATCAGAGACGCGCACGTGAGTAACGCCTGGCAGTGTTGTTCTTGGAGGAAGAAGTCGAGGCACAGCGGAGTCTTGACCTGCACGACAGGAGGATTAAAGGCTGTGGTAGTTGATTTGGACTTGTGCAGGCTCAGTCAGAGTACCGTCTGTTGGGGAGTTTGTGTCCGACCGACGGTCACCGAGTGTTTTCTCATCCTTCGGTTGGGGGACATGAAGAGCGTACCTGGTGATCAACATTAGTTTCGGCACATAGCACAAGCACGAAATGTGGTGAGGTAAGAGCCTGACACGAGTATTCCGGGTGTTGACAAGTGCTGTGTGGAAACGTTGTTCTGCCGCCATGAGAGACGTGAGCTGTCTCACGCAGTGCTCCCCTTCTTTGCCCGGCATTGTCTGGGGGTGTATGTCCACGCTTCATCAATGCCCTACCACTTCAAGTACCCTGTTCAGCAGCCTCATACGTGTGTAACCTCAAGCATGGGTTGGACTTCAGGAAGTCAGACAAGAGATTTGGTGAGTTGCAGCTCATCGGCGGTTGCTGCGACGCGGCAGTTGGCTGCTTGGCTAAAGGTCCGTTTGAGATTTCGAGACCCCGCTTCCGTCAGAATAGAGTCTGGAGTTTCAGCCGTGATGTGCTGGGGGCTGAAGGAATATGAGGGATGCTTTCAATGTGTCAACTCCCTCATACACACCCTCTTCCTTCGAGCGAGGTGCTGCTCCGACACTATTCCCATCACCACATGTCTGTTCCTCTCGCATGTCCAGAATGGTTATTCACGGACTGTTTTGTTGCGAGTAACCCCCTTCCCCGCAGTTGCTGGCCTTTGCCATTAGCTCCGTAAACGATGACCGTGACGACGCTTCTTGAGACAGTGTCAGTGAAGGGTGAAGTATGCATGACTGCCCTTTGACGACTGTCGCTCGGGTCAGTGCAGCATGCAGGTGAGGCGCTCGCCATGCAGACCGAGATCAACCTGAACGAGCTCTACGGATCCCCCGATGCTTTGAAGAAAGAGTTCGAAGTTGAGTCGGGCTGCCATGTGGTCGAAAAGCACGAAATGCACAAGAAGGGCGACAAGAGCTGCCAGTACGTGATGGTTTTCGAGAACAAAGATGCTCCGGTCAACGAGCTCGCTGCAAACTGCGTGCCGGCAGGAATTTGCAAGAACGACGTGGTCGGAATGACGAAGGGCAAGATTGCGACCTATGGTGTCGTTCTACAGATCCTGCAGAGGAACCTCGGCTCTCTCGTCTACATCGGTGAGGGGGAACCGGGCGAGTGCTTCAAGCGCATGAACGAGGCCACGGCTACGGTCTTGCTTGTGAGATTGTGGGTTCCCAGTGTCGTCTGTCGGATGAGTTTAGGCTCTAGTAGACGATGCCGCCTTCGCGGAAGTGATGTAACTTCGTGAAGACTGCAAAACTCGGACACTCACGATGAGACGGGTTACTACTGGTAGTCATGCAGGGATCCGGGATCTCTGTGATGTTGGCCTGAGCTCTCCGAGGTGAACCGCGGTGACCTGAGCAAGGTTTTCAAGATGCACACCATTGAGTTCTTAGGAATGCACTTCTCAGAGAAGAAGATGCTGGGCTGTAAAGCATTGTAAAGCTATGTCACATGCTCCGAGAGATTGACTTAAAGAGCTCCGAGCATGCTAGCACAGGATGGACATCGACGGCATGACGAAGTTGGCTGTGGAACAATCCCTGGGCAATTGCAAGGACTGGCTTTCTCGCGAGGGGAACACTGCATGCCTGAGGAGGGAAAGATGGTGACTGCCATGGCTTGCGCTTGTCGTGAGGACAAGGAAAACGGAGACCACAATGCGTATCTCTACATCCACAAGAACTTGCTGTGGTGCCTGGCTGTACTAGCATCTGTTTCGACAATCGGCCCGACACCTACTGCATGAGCCATCGACGGCCAGGGACGAGGATAGGGAGGCCGTCAACATCCAGGAATACACTGACTACAAGGCGCTGCTACCCACGCAAGCATCTGACCATAACGGATGCACAGATTCTCGGCAGGGACACAAAGTTAAAACTTGCAGGAAGCCAAGGACACTGCGGAAGCGGCGAAGCAACTGATGAAGGATGCCGAGCCACTTGTTGATGCACTTTGTGCGAGAGCTCACCTGCGTAGGGTCGACGTGTGTGTAGGCGTATTGGGCTAGGATCCCCCTGTGGTTGCTCTCGCGAGAAACGGTAAGCGTTGCCCGAGCCCAAACCCAACGCCGGATTCTCCAAGGAAGATGTTCGGGAAGCCGAATGCGGAGCACCAGGCTGCTTGGGGGAATGCTATAGGTCAAGACCCATCCCCTCGCCCGAGTTCCTAGCCGCTGCCAGGCGAGGCATCTGTCTGAGGTCGTCGTCTGAAGAGACGTGACCAGGCCACCGAAGTCCGCAAGTGGCTGAATTGCGGTGACAACGCATCAGTTTTGAGCCAGGTGCTCGCGCTTGCAACTAGGGTTTCGGGGCGTATCACGCAAGGTAGTTTCCTGACAAGTGTAGCAGCCCTTCGAGGTGACGCTTTGTGGGTGGATGTGGGGCTTGCATGCTTTTACATGTGCATGCGTGTTGAATGCCCATCTTCCTAGAAGATCAACACTTCAAAGTTTCGGAGATGCTGTCAGCCAGCTTCGGGACACCGCTTTGTTGGCGACTGTTCTGAACACCCTGATAATCACTGATGAAGCTTTTGCCTTGGACACGAATAGCCTGTCGTCTTGGTAGTCTGTAGTTTGCAGCTCCTAAGCCTCTTGTGCACTTTCAGCCGCTTGAGTCCGCGTGCTGTGTGGGCGAAGTCTCAAACAGCAGCAGTCTGTGGTTCCTCATAAGCAGAAATGCGCAGCTTTTGTCTGCAAGGGGCCACAGCGACAGTCGTTCGTATTGCTGCCTTTCCCACTCTTCGGATTCGGTTCAGAAAGCATTTCTTTAGCAACCTAGAAGGTTTTGCGCAGCATGGTTGTCAGGCTGCCAGGGAGCCCGGTGCGACTCCCCCACCTGGCCCAAAATTAAACGTCCGGTGGCGCTCGAAAGAGGGCGCTGCGAAACAAGGCTTGTGCCAAATGCTTAAGCTCAGACGGTTTTGCCAATAAAGACTGCAGCGTTGCACTGTGCCAAATGGAATACCATTTCCGAAGTTTCGGGACGAACGGGTTTTGCGTAATCCGGTGGCCAGATATATAGGGCCAACATTCACTGAAACTGGAAGTAGAGTGCGTCCTTCAGACAGCGTCGTCTCAATGGATATGTGCGGTAATCTATTGCAGCATAGCTATTTCATGTGTGGATGCTGAGCGATTCCTTGTCGTCTCTTCGAATGCGCTGGCTAGTCGCAGTTTTGCAGCGTCTTGCCCTGCTAGCCCCTGTCAACTGTCCTGCCAGCCATGTCGCTGAAGAGCGTCCTGCACTTGGTCAGCGACGTGCTTTGTTCTGCCAGTCTCCCGCATTGATCCTGGCGGATTTAGGTGCTGGGACTGGGACTGGTGGCTCATGCTTCCGCGTTTGCCCGTGTGTCCATGACCACGATGGGGGAGGCCGAATGCTGCAGGGGAATGCAGTTACGTTGCCGAGAGTCGGGTGGTGGACTCTGTTCTTTGCCGATGTTTGGAAGCGCTGGGCGATTGGTCATACTGCTTGCTCTATTTCCAGGCTCTCGGGCAGCAGACCTTGAAGGACCACTGTGATTCGTAGGGGCATGCGGGCGGAAGAATTCCAGAAGCTGTTGTGGGACATGAGTTGGCTGCCTGCATCGGAAGGATTACGTCGACGGCCTCAAGGCAGGAAATCCTCGCTTGGGTGATCTCCAGCTGCTCGGTTCTGCATGAGTGTTGGTGCTGTTGAGGGATTGTGTTGGGGTTGACTTCGCAGGGTACGTCCTCGATTGGGGTTGGGGGGTTGGAATCACGGCCGTCCTCGTCACGGCAGTCAGCTGCAGTCCGGCTGCCCGCATCCCGGAAGTTGAGGTTCATGGGAAGCTGCTGCGGCGACTACACAGGCAAGGCAGTTTGCAGATGTGTTCTCCAGGGTGAGAGTGCGACGGCTGCTGCAATCGAGTGGGGACCCTGCAGGAGCTGCACAGCAGGTTCAGAACAGCATCAACACAAACGAGCTGTATGGGAAAACCGAGGAGATTGCTGGGAGTATCTTCAAGGACTCTGGCTGCACCCCCGTCGTCGGCGACAGCATGAAGAGCAATGCCACGGCAGGCTGCAACTACTTCAGTGTCTTCGGGAACAAAGCCCACGCTGACCACGAATATGCCGCCAACTGCGTGCCGGCAACGACATGCAAGGAAAACGTGGTTGGCATGACGCAAGGCATGATCGCTCTCTATGGTGTGGTTATGCAGATCTTGCAGCAGAACCTTGGATCATTGGCTTGGATCGGAGAGGGAGACATGAAGAGCTGCCTCGCAGGAATGAACAAGGCCAACATGGGATCGCTGGATGGCGTTATTGTCCACAAGCCGATCAAGATCGGGCCCATCACAGTTGGAAGCGAGAGAGTTCTGGAGTTCGAGGGCATGAAGAAGCTCGGAGCGGCCGATACCTTGTCCAAGTGCAAGGACCGGCCACATGCAGGGGTGGGGGTGAGCGGTCAGCCCCCAGTGCCGTGATGTTACCTGCGAGGATGATTCGTCTGTGGGATACCTCTTCATCCACAAGAACCTGTACTGGCAGAACGACAAGTCGGCCATCGACCTTGAGGTCTCCAGATAGTCTCGACCGTGCTTTGTAGCTGGCTAAGAGAAGCCCAGATAGTCGTGTAGATGTTCGTCGGTGTCGTTTGAAGGCCTTCCAGAAGTTCAAGGCAGATCAGAAGGTGAAGAAGGACGAGGCCAAAAGGCAAAAGGAGGCGTGTCTCGGCTATTGCACCAGCTGGCGAGCTGGAGCATACGGCATGCAGCGGTGTCCTGGTGAAGTACGGCCTTAGGGTGCCCCGACGCCCTGCGAGCTCGGAACAGCCGAGGGCAGCGGCCGCGAAGGCCGCGGAAGAGAAGGATGAAGAGGCAGCGAAGGAAGCGCTGGACGAGGCGGGAGTCGCCGACTGGCCTGGGGCAAGCGGAATCAAGCGGAAGCCGACAGGCCGGTGCCGAAGCTCCCACCATTATTAGCAAGGAGGCCGACAAGGACGCTAGGTGCTCAGATGTGAAAGGCTGCGTAGGGTATCCTGGATGCAAAGTGTCGGACGCAGCGATTCAGGCAATCGCTCAGGCCCAGGAGGCTGGAAAGATCCAAGGCGTTCGTCCCTCAGGCTTGTACCCATCTAAGTCTTTGAAGTTCGCTTTGCAATATTGACAAGGAAGTGCAGCTCACCACTGACGGCAAGGCGAAGGCAGAGTCTGTCATCGTGGAATGGCCTGTCACTTTTTTTAACCACTGGCCCTCCAGGTGGTGCTGGGTGACCAGGCAAGCGGTTGCTGTTTGCCATGGCCTTCACGAGAGTCTGGTAATGGGCAGGCTGTCACCCGACGCCTGTCCGACGTGTACGTCTGAAACCCTGCGGGAAGCCGGCAATGAGAAGCATGCGCACGATGTGTTTCACACTGAGCGAAGCCTCAGAGACAAGCCGTGCCGCGGCAGCTCAACCCATGCGGCACTGCCGTTCCACCAGGTTTCAAACCTGCTGAGCGGCATTGGACTTTACCACTGACCTTTAGATTCTCAGATGTTCGTCCAGCCACTTCGGCTTCCTCCCGTCGACATGTCGCACAGCATGACTCGTGCAGCAACGGACCATCGCTCTTGCCTGATCAGGAGGGAGCCCGGCGTAGCAGGACGTTACGTCTAAGCAGCTCTTGTATTTCGCATCACTGCCCAGCTTGCACTCATCTTGTTTGCGTGCTCGAAGAAAAGGTCCTTTGAAAGGGCAGTGCGCACGTCTGCTCATGTTCATAGGGTCTCGCGAGGTATCTGCCACATGCGCATGCTCGTATGGGGAGGGGTCGCTGAAGCTCTCCGCCCAAGTTGCATTGTCTTGCCCCGCCAGCCCCTGTCAACTGTCCTGCCAGCCATGTCACTGAAGAGTGTCCTGCGCTTGGTCAGCGACGTGCTTTGTTCAGCCAGTCTGCCGCATTGATCCTGGCGGATTTAGGTGCTGGGACTGGGACTGGTGGCTCATGCTTCCGCGTTTGCCCGTGTGTCCATGACCACGATGGGGGAGGCGGAATGCTGCAGGGGAATGCAGTTACGTTGCCGAGAGTCGGGTGGTGGACTCTGTTCTTTGCCGATGTTTGGAAGCGCTGGGCGATTGGTCATACTGCTTGCTCTATTTCCAGGCTCTCGGGCAGCAGACCTTGAAGGACCACTGTGATTCGTAGGGGCATGCGGGCGGAAGAATTCCAGAAGCTGTTGTGGGACATGAGTTGGCTGCCTGCATCGGAAGGATTACGTCGACGGCCTCAAGGCAGGAAATCCTCGCTTGGGTGATCTCCAGCTGCTCGGTTCTGCATGAGTGTTGGTGCTGTTGGGTTTGACTTCGCAGGGTACGTCCTCGATTGGGGTTGGGGGGTTGGAATCACGGCCGTCCTCGTCACGGCAGTCAGCTGCAGTCCGGCTGCCCGCATCCCGGAAGTTGAGGTTCATGGGAAGCTGCTGCGGCGACTACACAGGCAAGGCAGTTTGCAGATGTGTTCTCCAGGGTGAGAGTGCGACGGCTGCTGCAATCGAGTGGGGACCCTGCAGGAGCTGCACAGCAGGTTCAGAACAGCATCAACACAAACGAGCTGTATGGGAAAACCGAGGAGATTGCTGGGAGTATCTTCAAGGACTCTGGCTGCACCCCCGTCGTCGGCGACAGCATGAAGAGCAATGCCACGGCAGGCTGCAACTACTTCAGTGTCTTCGGGAACAAAGCCCACGCTGACCACGAATATGCCGCAAACTGCGTGCCGGCAACGACATGCAAGGAAAACGTGGTTGGCATGACGCAAGGCATGATCGCTCTCTATGGTGTGGTTATGCAGATCTTGCAGCAGAACCTTGGATCATTGGCTTGGATCGGAGAGGGAGACATGAAGAGCTGCCTCGCAGGAATGAACAAGGCCAACATGGGATCGCTGGATGGCGTTATTGTCCACAAGCCGATCAAGATCGGGCCCATCACAGTTGGAAGCGAGAGAGTTCTGGAGTTCGAGGGCATGAAGAAGCTCGGAGCGGCCGATACCTTGTCCAAGTGCAAGGACCGGCCACATGCAGGGGTGGGGGTGAGCGGTCAGCCCCCAGTGCCGTGATGTTACCTGCGAGGATGATTCGTCTGTGGGATACCTCTTCATCCACAAGAACCTGTACTGGCAGAACGACAAGTCGGCCATCGACCTTGAGGTCTCCAGATAGTCTCGACCGTGCTTTGTAGCTGGCTAAGAGAAGCCCAGATAGTCGTGTAGATGTTCGTCGGTGTCGTTTGAAGGCCTTCCAGAAGTTCAAGGCAGATCAGAAGGTGAAGAAGGACGAGGCCAAAAGGCAAAAGGAGGCGTGTCTCGGCTATTGCACCAGCTGGCGAGCTGGAGCATACGGCATGCAGCGGTGTCCTGGTGAAGTACGGCCTTAGGGTGCCCCGACGCCCTGCGAGCTCGGAACAGCCGAGGGCAGCGGCCGCGAAGGCCGCGGAAGAGAAGGATGAAGAGGCAGCGAAGGAAGCGCTGGACGAGGCGGGAGTCGCCGACTGGCCTGGGGCAAGCGGAATCAAGCGGAAGCCGACAGGCCGGTGCCGAAGCTCCCACCATTATTAGCAAGGAGGCCGACAAGGACGCTAGGTGCTCAGATGTGAAAGGCTGCGTAGGGTATCCTGGATGCAAAGTGTCGGACGCAGCGATTCAGGCAATCGCTCAGGCCCAGGAGGCTGGAAAGATCCAAGGCGTTCGTCCCTCAGGCTTGTACCCATCTAAGTCTTTGAAGTTCGCTTTGCAATATTGACAAGGAAGTGCAGCTCACCACTGACGGCAAGGCGAAGGCAGAGTCTGTCATCGTGGAATGGCCTGTCACTTTTTTTAACCACTGGCCCTCCAGGTGGTGCTGGGTGACCAGGCAAGCGGTTGCTGTTTGCCATGGCCTTCACGAGAGTCTGGTAATGGGCAGGCTGTCACCCGACGCCTGTCCGACGTGTACGTCTGAAACCCTGCGGGAAGCCGGCAATGTGAAGCATGCGCACGATGTGTTTCACACTGAGCGAAGCCTCAGAGACAAGCCGTGCCGCCGCAGCTCAACCCATGCGGCACTGCCGTTCCACCAGGTTTCAAACCTGCTGAGCGGCATTGGACTTTACCACTGACCTTTAGATTCTCAGATGTTCGTCCAGCCACTTCGGCTTCCTCCCGTCGACATGTCGCACAGCATGACTCGTGCAGCAACGGACCATCGCTCTTGTCTGATCAGGAGGGAGCCCGGCGCAGCAGGACGTTACGTCTAAGCAGCTCCTGTATTTCGCATCACTGCTGAGCTGTGCATGCGTGCTCGAAGGAAAGGTCCTTTGAAAGGGCAGTGCGCACGTCTGCTCATGTTCATAGGGTCTCGCGAGGTATCTGCCACATGCGCATGCTCGTATGGGGAGGGGTCGCTGAAGCTCTCCGCCCAAGTTGCATTGTCTTGCCCCGCCAGCCCCTGTCAACTGTCCTGCCAGCCATGTCACTGAAGAGTGTCCTGCGCTTGGTCAGCGACGTGCTTTGTTCAGCCAGTCTGCCGCATTGATCCTGGCGGATTTAGGTGCTGGGACTGGGACTGGTGGCTCATGCTTCCGCGTTTGCCCGTGTGTCCATGACCACGATGGGGGAGGCGGAATGCTGCAGGGGAATGCAGTTACGTTGCCGAGAGTCGGGTGGTGGACTCTGTTCTTTGCCGATGTTTGGAAGCGCTGGGCGATTGGTCATACTGCTTGCTCTATTTCCAGGCTCTCGGGCAGCAGACCTTGAAGGACCACTGTGATTCGTAGGGGCATGCGGGCGGAAGAATTCCAGAAGCTGTTGTGGGACATGAGTTGGCTGCCTGCATCGGAAGGATTACGTCGACGGCCTCAAGGCAGGAAATCCTCGCTTGGGTGATCTCCAGCTGCTCGGTTCTGCATGAGTGTTGGTGCTGTTGAGGGATTGTGTGGGGTTGACTTCGCAGGGTACGTCCTCGATTGGGGTTGGGGGGTTGGAATCACGGCCGTCCTCGTCACGGCAGTCAGCTGCAGTCCGGCTGCCCGCATCCCGGAAGTTGAGGTTCATGGGAAGCTGCTGCGGCGACTACACAGGCAAGGCAGTTTGCAGATGTGTTCTCCAGGGTGAGAGTGCGACGGCTGCTGCAATCGAGTGGGGACCCTGCAGGAGCTGCACAGCAGGTTCAGAACAGCATCAACACAAACGAGCTGTATGGGAAAACCGAGGAGATTGCTGGGAGTATCTTCAAGGACTCTGGCTGCACCCCCGTCGTCGGCGACAGCATGAAGAGCAATGCCACGGCAGGCTGCAACTACTTCAGTGTCTTCGGGAACAAAGCCCACGCTGACCACGAATATGCCGCAAACTGCGTGCCGGCAACGACATGCAAGGAAAACGTGGTTGGCATGACGCAAGGCATGATCGCTCTCTATGGTGTGGTTATGCAGATCTTGCAGCAGAACCTTGGATCATTGGCTTGGATCGGAGAGGGAGACATGAAGAGCTGCCTCGCAGGAATGAACAAGGCCAACATGGGATCGCTGGATGGCGTTATTGTCCACAAGCCGATCAAGATCGGGCCCATCACAGTTGGAAGCGAGAGAGTTCTGGAGTTCGAGGGCATGAAGAAGCTCGGAGCGGCCGATACCTTGTCCAAGTGCAAGGACCGGCCACATGCAGGGGTGGGGGTGAGCGGTCAGCCCCCAGTGCCGTGATGTTACCTGCGAGGATGATTCGTCTGTGGGATACCTCTTCATCCACAAGAACCTGTACTGGCAGAACGACAAGTCGGCCATCGACCTTGAGGTCTCCAGATAGTCTCGACCGTGCTTTGTAGCTGGCTAAGAGAAGCCCAGATAGTCGTGTAGATGTTCGTCGGTGTCGTTTGAAGGCCTTCCAGAAGTTCAAGGCAGATCAGAAGGTGAAGAAGGACGAGGCCAAAAGGCAAAAGGAGGCGTGTCTCGGCTATTGCACCAGCTGGCGAGCTGGAGCATACGGCATGCAGCGGTGTCCTGGTGAAGTACGGCCTTAGGGTGCCCCGACGCCCTGCGAGCTCGGAACAGCCGAGGGCAGCGGCCGCGAAGGCCGCGGAAGAGAAGGATGAAGAGGCAGCGAAGGAAGCGCTGGACGAGGCGGGAGTCGCCGACTGGCCTGGGGCAAGCGGAATCAAGCGGAAGCCGACAGGCCGGTGCCGAAGCTCCCACCATTATTAGCAAGGAGGCCGACAAGGACGCTAGGTGCTCAGATGTGAAAGGCTGCGTAGGGTATCCTGGATGCAAAGTGTCGGACGCAGCGATTCAGGCAATCGCTCAGGCCCAGGAGGCTGGAAAGATCCAAGGCGTTCGTCCCTCAGGCTTGTACCCATCTAAGTCTTTGAAGTTCGCTTTGCAATATTGACAAGGAAGTGCAGCTCACCACTGACGGCAAGGCGAAGGCAGAGTCTGTCATCGTGGAATGGCCTGTCACTTTTTTTAACCACTGGCCCTCCAGGTGGTGCTGGGTGACCAGGCAAGCGGTTGCTGTTTGCCATGGCCTTCACGAGAGTCTGGTAATGGGCAGGCTGTCACCCGACGCCTGTCCGACGTGTACGTCTGAAACCCTACGGGAAGCCGGCAATGAGAAGCATGCCCACGATGTGTTTCACACTGAGCGAAGCCTCGGAGACAAGCGGTGCCGCGGCAGCTCAACCCATGCGGCACTGCCGTTCCACCAGGTTTCAAACCTGCTGAGCGGCATTGGGCTTTACCACTGACCTTTAGATTCTCAGATGTTCGTCCAGCCACTTCGGCTTCCTCCCGTCGACATGTCGCACAGCATGACTCGTGCAGCAACGGACCATCGCTCTTGTCTGATCAGGAGGGAGCCCGGCGTAGCAGGACGTTACGTCTAAGCAGCTCTTGTATTTCGCATCACTGCCCAGCTTGCACTCATCTTGTTTGCGTGCTCGAAGAAAAGGTCCTTTGAAAGGGCAGTGCGCACGTCTGCTCATGTTCATAGGGTCTCGCGAGGTTTCTGCCACATGCGCATGCTCGTATGGGGAGGGGTCGCTGCAGCTCTCCGCCCAAGTTGCATTGTTCTGCCCCGCCAGCCCCTGTCAACTGTCCTGCCAGCCATGTCACTGAAGAGTGTCCTGCGCTTGGTCAGCGACGTGCTTTGTTCTGCCAGTCTGCCGCATTGATCCTGGCGGATTTAGGTGCTGGGACTGGGACTGGTGGCTCATGCTTCCGCGTTTGCCCGTGTGTCCATGACCACGATGGGGGAGGCGGAATGCTGCAGGGGAATGCAGTTACGTTGCCGAGAGTCGGGTGGTGGACTCTGTTCTTTGCCGATGTTTGGAAGCGCTGGGCGATTGGTCATGCTGCTTGCTCTATTTCCAGGCTCTCGGGCAGCAGACCTTGAAGGACCACTGTGATTCGTAGGGGCATGCGGGCGGAAGAATTCCAGAAGCTGTTGTGGGACATGAGTTGGCTGCCTGCATCGGAAGGATTACGTCGACGGCCTCAAGGCAGGAAATCCTCGCTTGGGTGATCTCCAGCTGCTCGGTTCTGCATGAGTGTTGGTGCTGTTGGGTTTGACTTCGCAGGGTACGTCCTCGATTGGGGTTGGGGGGTTGGAATCACGGCCGTCCTCGTCACGGCAGTCAGCTGCAGTCCGGCTGCCCGCATCCCGGAAGTTGAGGTTCATGGGAAGCTGCTGCGGCGACTACACAGGCAAGGCAGTTTGCAGATGTGTTCTCCAGGGTGAGAGTGCGACGGCTGCTGCAATCGAGTGGGGACCCTGCAGGAGCTGCACAGCAGGTTCAGAACAGCATCAACACAAACGAGCTGTATGGGAAAACCGAGGAGATTGCTGGGAGTATCTTCAAGGACTCTGGCTGCACCCCCGTCGTCGGCGACAGCATGAAGAGCAATGCCACGGCAGGCTGCAACTACTTCAGTGTCTTCGGGAACAAAGCCCACGCTGACCACGAATATGCCGCAAACTGCGTGCCGGCAACGACATGCAAGGAAAACGTGGTTGGCATGACGCAAGGCATGATCGCTCTCTATGGTGTGGTTATGCAGATCTTGCAGCAGAACCTTGGATCATTGGCTTGGATCGGAGAGGGAGACATGAAGAGCTGCCTCGCAGGAATGAACAAGGCCAACATGGGATCGCTGGATGGCGTTATTGTCCACAAGCCGATCAAGATCGGGCCCATCACAGTTGGAAGCGAGAGAGTTCTGGAGTTCGAGGGCATGAAGAAGCTCGGAGCGGCCGATACCTTGTCCAAGTGCAAGGACCGGCCACATGCAGGGGTGGGGGTGAGCGGTCAGCCCCCAGTGCCGTGATGTTACCTGCGAGGATGATTCGTCTGTGGGATACCTCTTCATCCACAAGAACCTGTACTGGCAGAACGACAAGTCGGCCATCGACCTTGAGGTCTCCAGATAGTCTCGACCGTGCTTTGTAGCTGGCTAAGAGAAGCCCAGATAGTCGTGCAGATGTTCGTCGGTGTCGTTTGAAGGCCTTCCAGAAGTTCAAGGCAGATCAGAAGGTGAAGAAGGACGAGGCCAAAAGGCAAAAGGAGGCGTGTCTCGGCTATTGCACCAGCTGGCGAGCTGGAGCATACGGCATGCAGCGGTGTCCTGGTGAAGTACGGCCTTAGGGTGCCCCGACGCCCTGCGAGCTCGGAACAGCCGAGGGCAGCGGCCGCGAAGGCCGCGGAAGAGAAGGATGAAGAGGCAGCGAAGGAAGCGCTGGACGAGGCGGGAGTCGCACTCGGAAAGCCTGAGCAGGCCTGGAAGCTCGGACCAGATCTGTCAGGTGGGTGCCGTACCGGAGCCTGCTAAGGTGATGCGCGAGGGAGCCCGAGTCCGAGAGTCCGAGAGTCGGAGAGTCAGAGTCTCTCTGCAGATGATATGGCAGCCGCAACTTCTCTGCAGGCCAGCGCTGATGCTGCCAAGGTGCGACTGCACAGCTGTCTTGGATTCATGGATTGGATGACGTCGCGCACTGTCACTGGCAGGCTGAGGAATCCAAGCCAAGTGCAAAGCCCAGCAGCGTCCGTTGCTTAGTGCCAGCTGCCATCAGCCAGGTCAGAAGTGTCAGAAAAGGTTCCAGGTTTGCCGTACGATGTGTAGGTTGCATCGAGGAGAGGTCCGGCTCAGGGTGCTCGATGTGTTTTCCTGAGGATGGGAAGGTCGGAAAGAAGCCGGCTTTGCAGACAAAGGCCACGGACCGGGCAGGGATACGGCGAAGGCATCGCGACTTGGGATTCAGATACTATAGTATCCTATAATATACTATCATAGGGTCCCTTTTGAGGGGTCTCCCTTACACTGCAGTCGTCTTCAAGACTTCAGATTTGCTTTGCCGGCTCTCCGGCTTCGGAGCTTAGCCTCGCAAAAGGATTCTAGGCAAAGAACAGCTTAAGCCCATGATAGCACATTATCGCACATTCTAATACATTGCAGTGCTTTCGTATCATTTTCTGCAGCGCCTCTGTGAAGTGAAGCGCACACACCAAAACGGTTCACTCCAAGACACACCTTCAAGCCCAACCCTGCCCTTCACAACCTCTTTTCTCCAAGACGCACCTCCAAATCACACCTTCCCATGCCACTAAACCGTGCCTCCAAGATGCGCGAAACGTAACCTGCCCTTCGAAACGCAGCTCCAAGCCAACCCCCGCCTTCCAAGACGCACCTCCAAGTTCAACCCAACTGCCCGGGCGTACTTTTAAGCCACACCCCCCAAGACACATCTCTGCTCCGACGTCATCGTCACTGATGGGGTTGTGATAGTGGAGGTTGTGGTTGTTCGTGTTGGTGAATGATCGACTCGGACACCGTAGAGGCATGACAAGAGACCTTGCTGCGTCGGGCTTACGCTTCCCAGTAGGCCGCAAGCCTAACAGTTGCAGCAGATGTTGGAAATCCTTGGACCACAAGCCATTGGCCCGAAACCATGGAAATAGCGTGGAGTGTCGCGTCGGGATACCATTTTTGATCCGCATACTGTACGGTTGAGCATTTGGTTGCTGATCCGGCAGGCACCGCCGGCTCAGCCAGCCCCGAAGGCAGCGCCGGCACCGAAAGCAGCGCAGCCGGCCCCTGCTCCCAAAGCAGTGCAGCCGCCTCCAGAGGTCCGGCAAAAGCCAACGCAGTAACAGGGAAAGTGTGTTGGGTTGCAAACGACAGGTGCAGAAGAAGCGCCGCCTTTCTGAGATGATGATCTAAGTTTGAAAGCGCGTGGTGGGTTTCACACTGAGCGAAGCCTCAGGTTCAGTGCAGTGTCTGGGCCTCCCAGGCTGCACCCTTCTCAGCTGGGAAGGAACTTGCGCTTCACGTGCTTCGTTACAGGGGACTCCCGCGAAGCAATTTTTGAAGCAGCTTTGACGGCACCCGTGATTCTTGCACAAAGTGCCAACGTGCAAGGCTCGCATGTATCGTCGAAGCACATGCTTTTCTGAACGAAGGTTCAGTTGAATAGGCTGCAGCGCTCTGACTCTGTGTAACATGGGTATGGGCAATGTCAGAAGTCTGCACTTTTGGTTTTGGATGGTTGGGGCTGCAGGAAATTCCATGCTTGCACCAAGACCTGCGGCTTCTGCATGCAAGGCCGCGCAAGCTGTCAGGAATTGTAGATAGCGTCCGGAAGTGTGTTAGTTTTGTTTCAGCCACCGAGCTCTCTTCAAGAGGCCCGGTGCTCAAATTCGGGCCTCGCTCGAAAGGGGGCATGCCCGGAAAATCGCCAATGTAAACTGAGGCTCAAAAGTTCGCGCAAGTGCCCACTGTGGTGGATTGCTGGGGCTGTAGCATTTCAGGCTTGCAGATCTTTGTTCTGGGATCGGAGTGGAGGGCGGTACCAGGCCAGTACAAGCTCCCGCATCTATCCGCCAGGTGCGATTTGTAACGGCTCCCAGAACCAGGGTCGTTTGGGCTGACTGGGCTCCTGGGCTTCCGTGAACTTTCTTGTTCAACTGCAGGCTTCAAAACTTTCTGGTCTTGACTTGCGCTGAGGATGCGAATTTGCGACTCTGCGCGCTGAAAGCAGCAGAAGAGGAACGGCGGAGTGTGACTTTGAAGCTTAAACTGCAAGGCCAAGGAAATTCTGAAAGGGGAGCTTGATGAACCTCTCAACGATATTCTGATTCCCTTTCCCGGCAGTAGCAAGTAAAACAAGTCCGAACATACTGTACCGCTCAGTGAGGTTTGTTTTCAGAATTCCCCTGCCAAAACACCCATTTCATGAAGCCATTCCGCTTCATGGTAAACTTGCAGAGGGAGGACCGCTGCTTCTCTTGAGTCTAGTTGCAATGACTGGGTTTCTGATGGCATGGTCCCAATGGTCAGCAAGGCGCAGGTGAACATGAGAATCTTGTTTGACTCTGTGAGGCCTCGGAGCTTTTCTTCCAGATCTCGCCACCCGCTCAGCCTCAGTTGAAAAGCAGCTGCGTCTGTGCGCGTAGACACAGTTCATTTGGTCCGTTGTAGTTCTGGTAGCACCTCGCGTTCAAGATATTCTCTTCTCGAAGCCGGCTACAGCAGTTGTGCTGAGCATCGAAGATACGAGGATGCGACGCCAGTCTGCTGTAGTCTGCAGCCCGCGCTCACAAAATGCAAGGTGGTTCGATGTCGAGCACCAGGCAGCGGGAATCTGGGAATGCCGTTGTTTCATCCTTCGGCATCACCGATCGAAAGCTCACATCGTATCCAAAGCAGAGACCTGCCACATGCCCATCCTTGGAGGAAAAGAGCTGGCGGCCGTTCCCTGGACAGCTCAACTGCCTCGGGGTGCGATGTTGGCAGGCCGGCAAAAGCTTTGCATCCGCTCAACTGTGCGCCGGAAAGATTCAGTGTTGCGGTTTGGCTCAGAGATGCTTGTCAAGAAGTTTCTCGCAGGTGCTTCGCCGCGCTGTTAAACGCTTGGCTCAAAACGGCTCAAGGGGAGGCTGTGAGCAATGGGACAGGATTGGGTCATGGACTGGCAATTTGAGGTATCGGCTATCCTCAGAGAGACGCCCGAGCTGGAGTTCAGCTTGCGAAGAGATCTTCTGCTGCCTGGCCTTTCATCGATACTGCCAGCAAAGTTTTCGGCGGATCGAGGTCGTACGGTTGTTTTGCTAAGTTTGCAGTTTCTAGAACTAGTGACCTAGACGGTCTGTCAAGAGGCACAAGCTAGTCATTTCGCAAAGCCAGCTGCTCTGCCGCAGTTCGCTCTTTGCTGTTCTTTGATGTGTGTTGACAAAGCTCCACTAACAGGTTTGCGCGGCACGGCTTCGCAATGCCCTTTCCGCTTCGCGAGGACTTTCTGGATCATCTTGAAGAGTCCCGGCATTTGCCCATATGGGTTCCCCGGCCTAACGTCACGAAAAGTGCCGCAGACATTCCACTCCGGCATTTTGTGATCAGGTTCACTGGGACAGTTGGCAGAAACTCTTGTCTGGGCCTTCCGATAATCTAGTATCTTGGAAGGAGTACTAGCACACGTTTTCCAGTCGGATAAGCTGTGTGTGCTATGTCCTGGATTCTTCAACTTCGTGCGGAAGCTTAAGGAGGGTTTCTGGGAACGGGAGAATGAGCTGATCTGCGTGCGCGGTGACCTGGTGCACTGGCTGACAATCGAAGGTCCGGGGCTTGCAAGGACCCGTTTCAGACGTAAGACAGAAAGTATCAACAAGTTTGTTGAGTTTTATTCTACGGCGTGATGCATATAGCTTTCGCACTGCCAGTTTCAGGCTCTTGAACATGTCACAGCCCGACCTGCCATTCCATGCAGCCATGCAAGCTCTTGCTGAACAGTTGAGCTGACTCCCAACAGCTCCAATTCCAGCCTTAGCAGTCTTCTTCCTCCGCATCCTCTTGCTGTTGAGACCACAGTTAGTTGGGGCAAGTTCTGGCCAGTTCAAGGGATGGTCAGCAGGTGTCTGCAAGCGTCGGAAGCCACGCATCATCCAGTGCAGGCCAGCCTCGGGCAGTGCAGCAGACGGGCAACGGAAGGCACAGAAAAATGATCAAAATTCACAGTCTCTTGTTTCTAGGTTTTGTCTAACGATTCTCGCGACTGCGTTGCAGATGCTCTTTCGGGGAATCCAGGTACTCCATCGGCCTCGGCGACGGTGCCTCGAACAGCATCAACCATTGCAGGCTTACACAGCACCCCTTCGCGACGAGACGCTGTTTTAGCTTAGGTACGTCGTGTGCTGCTTGGCTTGAAGACGGCTTACTTCGCTGGGATGACGGAGATGTTTGGCATCGGCCAGCAGCTTCCAGATTGGCGGCCGTGACGCGTTCTCTGGAGCCCTGGCCTCTGTGCGTCTTACTGCGCTCTCTGGCGGACTCTCGCGACTTCAGCGCTTCGGTTCTGGAAAATCGATATGTGCAGCTGAGAAGGCCTTGTCGCCTGCATGGGTGAAAATGCAGGATGGTGGTTGTGCGTGTGCGAGTACTAGTACGTATTCGTATGAACGAAGCTAGGTACGTGCACCGAAAACGAAAACGGAAGGAAAAGCCTAGGCATGGTTTGTTTCTGAATGCACAATCGTGGACGGCAGTTTCTCTTAGCCAGGCTGGCTAGTTGGGCGGACTGGATGGGAAAGCATGAAGAAGGAGCCTAGCTGTCGAGTCAAGCTGGCCCTGGGACACCCTGAGAGCCTTGCAGGTCAAGCCAGGTCAGAATGAATCTCATGCACCTCGGTTGTAGCTCCGGAAATTTTCGTCATCTCAGTGGAAAGTAAGCTCGTGGGCAAAACGAGGATGCCACGGGCTGCCACCAGAAGAGGCGTTGCGAACTTGTTCAAGTTTCACGTCTGGATGGAACGGGCGACGCCGGTGCATTCATGCCACAACCACAAGAAGCAGCAACTCAGCAAATCTCACGAAGCTGCGGGCTGCAGTGTGCTGTCAAGAAGCAAGAATCCACCGTTTAGGCTTCTTCGATGCTGCGGGGGTTTTCATCCAGCACAGTATGTTTTCAGCACCTGCTGATTGCAGCATGTTCTGGAAGGCATCCGACGTCGGAGTCCGGGCGGCTGGCTGAGAGCTATGCTCTCTTGTTGAAGACCCTTGGCTCTCAAATCTTACAGCAAGGGCTTTGCGTGGAATGCAAGGCTTTTAGGAAAGCGACCGAGGCTCGTCCCGGTAGATGTTGGCCTCCGAGAGCGCTTCCTGACAGCCGTGGCTCAGCTTCCCAGGCTCGTAGAGCAAAGGCCCGCGCGGGGCATCGGGAGACGGTCGGAGAGAAGTATCCGGGGTTTTTGTGCAGTTGAAAGCATGCGAAGGAGGCGGCGGTACACTCCAGAATTGATTCGGCAGAGCTTCCATGTTCTACACGTTGGCCACAGCTTCCTTCACCTGCATTCTGCCGTGTTGCCAGATGGGGAGCAAGCGATTATGGGATTCCTCCAGCGCTGCACTTCGATGGACTTGTTCCGACGGGTTCTGTGCAACGACATTGCACAACTCCACCCGGAAGACTTGTTGGAGGACTTATTCACGATGCCGCCGAGTTCCCTGGCACAGCTCCTGCCACTGGCCCACTTCGATGCGGTGGTGATCCGGAACTGCCCCGTGCAATTAAGCACACTTGCCCTCCAGAACTTCGCCTCCATGCTAAGAGATGGCGGCGTGCTGATTGCTTTTCCTGCTTACCTCGATGTACATGCGGAAGTTCCGCAATCCTTGAATTCGTGCTGGCTGGAGCCGTCGGCCAGCGAGGACGGGTGGTGTTGCAAAGCTGATCACAACTTCTAGGCTTCAGCCGTCCCTCCCCTCACGGCAAGTCGTAGTCCAGCTCCCTTCGCTGCGGTCATCTTGGTCCGCCGCACACGCACCATCTCCTTCTTGCTGACCAGGAAGGGGCCCTGCTCTTCGGCGATCTCAACGGCGCTGTTTGGAAAATTGGACTGCTGCAGCATGCTTGTCCGCTGGATTGTCGTTTCTTTAAGTGCTTGCTGGAGTCCGAGACGTGCAGTGTCAACCTCCGAAAAAGGAAAGCATACTCCCGGTAAATCCCGAACAGGTTGGGGGAACTGCTTTTTTCGATCTCCAGAAAGACACCTCAACACCAGGGAAGCCCAAAGTGTAACCTTGCAGTCGCCGAGTCAACCATCGAGCGAGCAAAGCAGGCAGAAGGAGCGAGAGCATGACAGCGACTTGCAAGCTACCTGCTGCATCCTGCTACCCCCCCACAGAAGGCGAACTCGATGATCCCCAATGATTGGTCGCGGAAAACCTGTTGCGAGACATTACCTGGAAAATCCCCATTGTCTTGATGTCCCCTCTCAGTGCTCTGAAAGGCGCTGTTGCGTGTCGCCGGGCGCAGCGGCTTCAGCGAGGCCTTGCGAGATTCAGATCTCGGTAGCTGCGGAAAGAGATACAGAGAGAGGGAGAGAGCGAGAGAGAGAGAGAGAGAGAGAGAGAGAGAGAGAGTGGGGGTCTGCCAGTGCCGAGCCGATCCTAATTTTTGTGCCGGTGTCACACAGACCTGGAGACGGTCGGAGACGGTGCGCCTGCGCTGCGGTTCAAGCAAGAGAGTGAGTGATTCGCGATACAGAAGGGCCGCGAAGCAAGCGGGGAGTAGAAGGAAAGGGTTGGGTTCAGAGCAAGCGAGCTGGACTAGGCGTGACTAGGCGGGACACGAGCATGAGGGTACTTTGGCATTGGAAATGCTGCCTCAATCGTCTGCCTTCAACCAGTCCAGCTCGAGGACACTTGGTGTCGCATTTGCGTGCAGGGGCAGGGGACCCGCTTCCCCCGCCCTAGATGCCGAGCAAGCAAGCAAGCAAGATTAAATCGCGTAGACGGTGCGAGGGCAGTTCGTGCTCTCTTGACTGTGCTGAAGAGGAAGAGAGAGAGACAGAGACAGGCTTTTCCCATTTGACGAGCTATGTTCGTTTTCAACCCCCCTCAGCCCGTTCCGACAGGGCATGCTGCGCGGGCAGGGGTTGCTACCCTGCCCCTAGCCTTGCGAAAGAAAGGGCCTGTTACCCCTCCGAAAGAGAGAGAGAGAGAGAGAGAGATTGACAGAGAGACAGATAGAGAGAGAAAGAGAGAGAGAGCAGAAGAAGAGAGGAGAAGCAAAGGGAAGGGAAGGGAAGAGACAAGAGGAGAGGAGATGAGAGGAGAGACGAGACGGGAAGAGAAAACAAGCAGAAGAAGAAGAAGAAGCAGGAGGAGGAGGAAGAGGAGAGGGAGATAGAGGGAGAGGGCTTGTGCAAGTCTGTTCTTCTGCGTTCTGTTGCCCTAGTTTACGGGCTTTCGCATTCTCCCATAAGGCCGGCAAACACGGGCGGGCCAGCGGTGCGGGGAGCTTGAGACGGAAGATGGGGGAGACAGAGAGTTAGATGGATGGCAGCGTCGTGGGGCAGGGCGTCAAAGAAATAAAGGCATGACTGCGGCATGAAACACATACGCACGAACATGAGAATACACTCTGCTACCGTGCATGGGTACAGGATCTCCCCCCAATGACGGCCCACTAAAGGAGAAGGGGGATGGGGGGCCGAGATTTGTGGGAGAGCGCTGAGGCAGCAAACGCATTTACGACTTTACCTGCGCGTATACGTATCAGATTGCCTGCAAAAGACTTTCGACTAAGGACGAGGTGATTTGTTGTTGGGTGGATCCCGTGAGTTGCACGTGCTGAAGTATGCGTTTGCCTCGCAGTGCAGAGACGTGGGACCAGCTGTACCCGAGATCGAGACTCCGCCAATTGCGGAGACCAGACGCTTAGCGGAGAGCACGCACCGGCACTGCGTCGTCGTCGGAGCTGTAGAATAAGAGTGAGTGATGCCTGCTCGCTGCCTCGCGACAGAAGACGAGAAATCACGAGAGAAGAAGAGTGTTTCTTGCACTGCACAGCAGGTCGTGGAGCAGTTCAGAGCCTTTGTCTTGAGCTTACGCACCGCCCAAGTGATCGGCTGGCGTCTGCAGTCTCATTCAGAAACTTGTTTTTTCCGGAGTTGTAGACCTTCCGTGATTTCTCCGCGTGTGGTGCAGCCTCACTGTACCCCGTTCACTTCCACTGCCCCCTGCCCAAAATAACGTCTTCATCGCCAGGAAAGCTGAATCGCTTGAGCTCAGGTTCGCAGTCCGGAAGTCTTGAAATCCGGGAGAAGGTGCCCTGAAAGTTGGATGTGACATGCTCGCTTATTCTGGTGTCTTTCGTTCTTGACGAGCCCGCAATCTCTTCGCGTGGACCGGGAGCGGGAATCCTCTGCTTGAACTCGCAGGCGAAGTCTGTACCAGCTGGCCGTCGGAAGCCCGGCATGCGCTTGATCAGCAGAGATCGTGCTCTCCGTTGCATAAGGGAGAAGAAGATTACGTGCGCGGGTATGTGCATGGCCAAGGCGGTGGCAGCAACGCACGGACTGCGGAACGACTGCTACCACTTGCTCGTCCATGGGTCAGCCACCCGGGACCTGCACAAAGAAAGGGACTCTCAGCTTCGAAACCCGAGGGAGATCTCCTTTTGACGGCAGGAAAAGACAGGGCGGAGGAGTCTGGAGGAGAAGGAAAGAAGGAGAGAGAGAGAGGGAGAGAGAGAGAGAGGGAGGGACGTCCGAAAGGACGGAAGGAAGGAATAGGTTGGAGCTGCGAGGCATCTGCGAAAAGAGAGTTGCAGCAGATGAGTCCTAGCCACTCCTACCTTCTGCCATGTGCCGAGGCTTGGACGTTACCGCACCAGCCACTCTCAGCCTGGGTCTTACTATAGTTTCTGAACCAAGGACATCGATTAAAGACGCGCGTCACCCTAAGGCAGTCGGTTCTGGATATTCTCACGCAGCTTGTCACAGAGTCGCAAGCTTAGATGCTTCTGCTAGCTATATCCTCTATTCCAGTTGCGATGTTTCTGGAACGAGGACGTGGCGGAATTGCTAGTCATGGTTATTGTCACAGGAAAACAACCCTGGAAACACTGGCTGCAGCTCTTTCTGGCAGCCCCAAACGTGCTGCTGCTGAGTCCGAGCCTGCATGCGAGATTCCTGAAGTATCCTGTCCCTGCCCAAGGGATGCAACAGAGGCATCGAAGGCAGGAGCCTCAGCGTGCCTTCAAGTCGGTTGGGTAGGATCTGCAATGGACCAGGAGTCTTCGCTACTCTGCCGTGTCTCGTCCTCGCCCGACCCTCAGCCTTAGAAGCCTGAAAGTCGCATGTCATGTGCGCTGAAGTGCTCGTGCCACAGACACTGTCTGAGAGGCTCCAGAGGCTCCGTCAAGCTGTGGACTTGGCGGACGGAGGCGTTCTGCGGCTGCTGGGTTGGACCTTCGAATGTTCGTCATTCCGTCAGGAGCGGCCCTGAGCAACTCGGCGGAGGCTCGCTGCCCCCGGCTCTTGCAGTTCTCATGGCCTGCGGCGAACAGTCTGCAAAGGAACTGGGCAGGCTGGCCTGCAACCCGCTGGCCCTGGCCTAAGAAGAAAGGTTGCACAGTGAGGCGGATCACCCTGTCTTGGAGTGCCGAAGGGCTGAAGGGGGCGACTTGCTGTGTTCTAGTTCTTGTTGCTGCGGACCCGCAACCACAAAAGGAATCTTGCCATATCCACTTGCGACTTGCCTGGCAGTTGTCGGAAGATTCACGCTCAGCACTGAGATCCCACTCGCCTGGCTCACAGACTCTTGCAGGGTCGGCCACTTGCTGCATGCAACTCTGTACTTGTTGCTTCAACTTGCGGGGGTGGCGGCTTTGCGTGCCGTCTCCGAGGCTGTTTGCCTCACTCATGCGCAAGGCTGGGTGCATCAGCTTCTCGACAGTGCCATGTTGGCAACCTGATCCCTCGACTTTCATGACTGTCCACGTGCATGGGGCTAGCCAGCCGCAGGTTTGTGATCACCCATGAATTGCCAACGGACCTTGGATGCTCCCCAGCAGCCCTGCAACCGCGAAGTGTGAAGTAAAGCTGCCGTGTTTCGAGTTTCGGCTTGCAGGGTGGCGAGCCACGGGAGCAGCTGCGGATGCTGTCGGCAGAGTGCAAGGAGGTCTGGAGAACTTGCTTGAGAGAGCCTGGCAGCCGCGCGACTGTACATTGGTTCGTCTGAAGGCCTCGCCCCTGGCAGCGGCACAACTTGCCGAGTCTGCGCTCCCAGGAGAACGAGGGAGGGTTGAGGCGACGCACGAGGTTGATCTAGTGCCGCAGTCTCCATAGAGCATTGTTGGCCTGTTCTCGCTTTCCCGACTTCTTCGATCCGGACTTTAGGACTTTAGGACCAATGGATTCTGCCCACAATTTTTGCTATGCCCACAATTTTTGCTACACAGCTGGGACACGGACACAGTTCGCTCTTCGTCAGCAAAACAGAAGGTGAACCATAAGTTGTTGTAGTTTGCTGGCCACTGTCCAGGCTCAATGCAGTTTCAAGTCCTTCTCTCGAGCATGCGGTAGTGTCGAGGACTTCTGGCAACAAAGAGCTCTCTCAAGTCAATTGAGATGTTGCAATCTGTAACATGATGTAACGGGTGCGTAGTAGCTGAGGCAATCTGGACCTCTCTCAGCAGCTCTGCTGCACATGCTGCCATTGCCGGTGACCCGGAACTCGCTCTGGGCATGCCTGGAGCAGCATCTTCTGTTTGAGCTGTCTCCGATCACGAGGCCGCGGGCTGTGTTTGGCGCGTTTCGTGACCTCCAGGCTCTGTGCACGCTCCTATGAGGTGTTGCCCACCCGACCCCAAACCCACAGAAGCCGGGAGACTGGGCTCAAGAAACAGTTGCTAGCCTGAAGGTGAGCCTCACCGCAAAAGGCCGTGCAGCCAGGAATGGCGAGAGAGCAAGTCACGCGGAGTGCAGCTTCTGCACGACTGTGCTCCGTTTGTTCGATCGTAAACAGCGGGCATGAGATGGCCTGGATTGGCAGGAGCCCGGAGCCTCCGGAAAGCTGGATCCTGTCCTTGGAGGGTGTGCTGTCCTCGTTGCACCGCCGCTTGCAAGGCTTTTTCTCCTTGCTCTGAGGGTAAAAGCACGGAAGAAGGCCAGCAGCTTCTGGTTGTCTTTCAGCTTCGGACTGGAACTGAGGAGCCCGTGCTCGGCCTCGGATGCCGAAGATCCCACGTGGAGGCAGCGAAGGGCTTTGGGGTTTGACTTGTCTGGCCAGCCTCCGAAGCCTCGGATGAGCTCAAGCGCCCTGGCCCTCTGAAGGCCCTCCACAAAGTGGCAGCCTTGGATGCTCGTTGCCTTCCGTTCTTGTGAATAGCACCCCCCCCACCGCACAGCGCTTTACTAGATGAATCCGTTTTGCCGCAGTACCATGCTGGACTGAGGCCTGGCGCTCCACGCAGCTCTCCGTGAAGGGTCCGGACGGAGAGGCCAGGTGTCGCGCAAACTGTTGGGCCAATCTTGCGCTTAGGACGTAGGTTTTCTGTCGGTCCTGTTGCTTGCAGGTTCTCGCGTCTTGGGAATTACCGCGGTGGCACAGCCCTCGCCTGAGACGAGGGATTTCCAGAGGGGGCGGGGCAATTGTTCTCGAGCGTTCCATGGGTCTGCGATATGTGTTTAGAGATGTGCTGCACTGCCAGCCCGCTTGTGTGGGCATACCAGACTTAGGTCTAATCCGAGACCCGCTTAGGAGCCATCTTTCATGTTGCTGCGTTTCCCTGCGGACGGCAGGAGGACTCGCGGAAAGATGTTGATGTTTGAAGCCACGAGGTCGCTGCTTGTCGTCGGGCGAGGATCCACCTCTTGTCGGTGCCCAAGGGGAATAGTCTCATCTCTGCACACAAGGAATCTTTGCACAGAATTTATCAAGGTGGAAGGATATCTAGGAAAAATTGTGGTCACTCTTGTCGATTTGACTCCCTATCGAATATCCACAGTTGAATGGGCTTACGGCGAGTGAGCCGCATGGCACATGATGCACAGCTTGCCAGGAGGTTTCAAAGCATTGTCCTGCTTTACCGAGGCCTTTCGCAGCAGATACCTTCTTCAAAGTTCTCCTGCCACGGTTGAGGCCGCTGTCGTGAGCGTGAAAGCGCTGCGAGGCTTCGTTCTTTCCATGCGCAGTTGCTGTTCTTTCCTGCACTGTGCAGGTGGAACTTCAGAGTGAGGGCTTTCCTGTGGCCTTTGGCGCAGGGGCCTCGGGCCTCGGGCCTCGGGCCTCGCTCGGCACTCGCCCGTATACTCGGTTTGGGGAAGTCTATGGTCATAGCCCCATTTTGTTGCTGAAGGTGGCGTGGTGCCAGATGATCCCATAGCTCCAGAATGGATGGTGAAGGCCCGTGCCACGGCGTCAGTGGTCGGGGTTAGGTTGGGCCTTTGGTGGCATGCCTCTGGAGCTGTGCTTACCCGTCTTGTCAAGCCAGTGGAAGTGCGTCAATAGCACCAGCCGCCACTTTCAGATGATAGGTGCGAGGATAGTCTCACATGCTTGTCCAGAGATGCCTTGCTACCCACTATGGCACAAGTAGCCCACAGCCGTGTGGCGAAAACACTCACCCCACCTCCGTGAATCCATCTGCCAGGTCCATGGCTCCGAGGATCCGGAGCTGGCATCGCTTCGTCCGTGGCTGGGCTGTAAGTGTTCTTCCGGGGCTTTATGCTGACAGGAGCAGGTTTTAAGGGCTTCGATTCAAAGCGGCTTGTCGGCATGAAATAGGCAGTGGGCACGTTCAAGACCGGCCGGCCATTCGGCCAAAGCCTGATCCACCTGCAAGAAACCAGTCCACGGCGAAAGGATTTTGCAAGTGAAGACTCCTTTCTACTGTCATTCTTGGAGTTGGCTGCAGGCCTACGTCTGCTGCTTCGCGCTGCTAGCAATGGCTGTGCCCCTTAAGGTGGCGTGGCATGCAGTACTTCCATTGTTTTCACTACGCAACCGGATGCAGCAGCTGCTGGAGCATGGATCGAAGCGTTCTTGCATGCTCCAGCCGATGTCAGCGGAGCATAATGGAGCATCGAAGTGCAAAGCCGAGCCCACTCTTGTTGCTTTTTTGTTCAGAGATGATCCCTTGCGCGTCGCAGGTACTTGGGTAAGGGCTGAGCCCTCTTGCTTGCGAGAAGGCAGGGCAGATTCATGGTTTTTGGTTGAGTGGTTGGAAGACTTGTAGTGGGCTCAGTTTCTGCATGCCAGCATTCTCGACTTTCAGGGTCTTGGTGAGTAGTTCCATCGAGCGCAAGGGCGCGTCAGGGTTTGCGGAGGGGAAGGCGCGTTACGGTCAGGCACCCTGCCGCTCGTAGCCACTGCGGCCGCAAAGCAAGGTTCGCTAGGTACATCCTTTTTCCCTCTGTCCGACAATTGTGCCTCGGATGCACGGCGGGTGGGTTTCCACGCTTCTGGCCGTGACAGGATTCCTCTCTGCAGCAACTGCGCGCGGCATGAAAGGTAGTTCAACGCCTTGAAGAGCTGCTGAGGCAGTAGCCACATCCACATGTGTATGTGTTTGACTCGATAGGCACTAGGAGCCTTTCTCTGTTAGTACCGTCCTCACCTGAAAGTGGCTGACCCTGGCGGTTCGAACGCACAAAGCCTGGAAATAAAAACTGCAAAGCCTCGGCCAACGGCCCGCTGACCGAGGCCATGGCCGCCTTTGTGGCCGTGCCCAGCTCCGCAGCCAACACTGCCCTGCGCGGCAGCCTGACCCATGTCCCGCAGGTGGATCTTGGATCGCAGCTTTTTGGGGTCAAGATCGCGACAATGGCATGAAGGAGGTGATACTGTAATGGGAGAACTTCTCCACGAAGCACCATCTCGTCGTGGTGGTAGCAGCACTAGTCGTAGTGGTAGTGCTAGTAGGAGCGGGAGTGGGACTGGCGCAATTGTACTGGTGGTATTGCCTGTGGTATGTGTGGTAGTGGCAAGTATTGTTGATTGTGACAGTGAGTGCTGGCGGTGTTGCCGGCTGTGGGGCTCAGTGTCTGCTACTACTGCAGCAACAACAACTACTACAACAACACAACAACAACTACTACTACTCCTGCTACTACTCCTGCTACTACTCCTGCTACTACTCCTGCTACTACTATTTTCAATTGAACGCTGTGCGAGCGGGCTCTGCGCATAGCGGGCGATTGCCGCGGTGCACTCACTTTGGTGTGAAACTGACTCAGACCCTATAGCTGATCAGCCCAGGTCAGAAAGACCGATGAGAGAGCTGTTGCGGCCTACAGGCTTTGAGCGAACTGGCAGAGATCAACCAAAGCTATTTTGCAGGCTGCAAAATATCGAGCTCCAGCTTGTTGTGACGTACCTGAATGTCGGGATATGATCCGCGTGGTGCATGCTGGCAGCAATGCAGCTGTAACGTGTCTGGCAGCGGGCTTGGGCATGTTTTTCCGACTGACAGCGGCGGCATCAAGCAGAAGGGCTATCAGTCCGTCTTGGAGGAGACACGAAGAAAACAGGCATTGCCTCCGCTGCTAGTTGCGCATTCTGCCATTGGCACCATATGTGTCAGGCAGGACTCGCTGATGCCAGGAGCGGCTGCCACCGGCCCCAGAGTCTGAGCCAGCTCAGTGTTGGAGAGGGCATGCAGGGCTCTGCCTGACCGCTGCTTGCCGCCGCCGGATGTCTGGCGTCGAGTGTCGACCCGAAAAGGCTCGGAAGGCTCTCCCATTTGTGAATCCGGAGCTAGGGGAGAGGTGGTGCGACCATGTTGGTGGTCTGGGCTGTGAATCGTATCAGCCATGCTGGGTCAGCCTTAAAAGTTGCGGGTAAGCCTGCTCATGCCTAAAGCATGCTTGGCCTTGACGTGGGGGGGGCCATGCCCACCTATTGTGGGGTCCGGCCTTCCCACGCACAGGCACCCTATTGATGCACGCGTTCCTAGTCTGGGAGGGCCAGCACTCACCCCTTGAGGGTGAGTCAGAGTCACTCCTGTCTTCTCAAGAAAAGGAGGTAGCAGTCTTCCATTACATGTTTGCGATATGAGGCCGAGGCCGGGTATGGGCGGGTGGCGTCATCACCCACATATAGTACGCCTCCGTTGGGATGAATCCAGAAGGACCGGTAGTGCCCGGTGTGTATGTCAGCACCGATGTGAAAGATTCCCGAAATGACTGCGTACTGGTGCCATTGCCGGACTTGTCCCTCTGTCCAAGACGGCAGAGAGATGTGCCTGCGCAGGTCTAACGGGGTTCGTCGCTTTGTGCCATCCATCCATCGAGCAACAGTGACTGGTAAGATGTCTGGGGCCCATGACAGGGCGCGCTGGAACATGTGGTTGTACCAAGCCGTACAGGCCTGCTGCAGTGTGCGACAGGCGGAGGAAAGCGGCAGCAGGAGCGGCGTGAGACCATCGTCCTCACTTTCCGGCACTCCATTGGTGCGTCCCTCCCAGCGAGCTGGTTGCAGAGTTCCCGTGTTGTGCTCTAGCAGATACGTTGCAAATTCGGAGGCGTCTTGTTGACGGCCATCGAATCGCCATCTTGGCACTAGGGACCGGAGAGCGAAGAGGCTTGGAGGATTGATGGGCCTCGCATCCGTTGGATCCGCTTCCGTGCTTGTGCAGTGTTGTACCAGTGGTTCCAGCTCCGCTACATTGGACGCAGATTCAAGCGCCGCTAAGAGGGCTTGAATGGTCGCGTTGACGTAGCATGTGTTACCCGAGTTCAACATGTGCCGCATACGAGAGTACAGGCCCGGCGGGAGAGTGCTGCCGGCGGCACCTGTCGCCGCCATGGCGACAGGTGGCGATGAAGCCACGGCAGCTGGCTTGTCTGCAGCCGCGAAAAAACCACTAAGTGACATTGTGGTACGGCGATTGTAAACGAATCGCTTAACCTGCTGGAGCTTTTTGGCAGCTTCTGCTATGCGGAAGCGCAGCGTCTGCATTTCAAAGTTACCATAGGAGATTTGGATGCCCAGGTACTTGACTTGCGTCTCAAGTCTGTAGGCAGGGAAAGATTTGTGCCTGCCTAAGCGCCAATGCCTCTGTAGCTTGCCCTCCGAGTCGGGGAGCCAGCAGGTGTGTTTCTGAAGTATGGCCTCCGCCTCCCTGCCGTTAAGCTTGACGAGTATGGCACATTTGGCCGGGTTGACGCGCAATCCCAGTTTCTCCACCTCCGACAGAAGCTGTAGGATCATCTTGTGAGCTGCGTCCACGTCAGCTTTGCTGCGGATGGTGCGATGCATGGTGAAATCGTCCGCGTATCCTGTGAAGTATTTGCGGACACTGTCCCAGCCAAACGTGTCGGTCAACCTATGAAGAAGGCGGCCCGTGAGCACAGAAAACAACGTGGGGGCCATCTTGCAGCCTTGTTTGATGCCCGTGGTGGTTTCCACGTCCTTGTAGGCCCCCTGAGAGTGAAGCCTGTACTTGGACCGATGATGAAGGCCATGTATGAGCTTCTGAAGGGAGGGGTCCGCACCCAGTTCATCGAGCAGGGACAGAATCTCACTGCGAGAGACAGTGTCGAATGCCTGTGAAAGGTCAAGAGCGAAAGTGATGCCGCCGACTAGGCCCACAGGACATTGTCCCCGCTGTTGATCTGCTCGGGTGAGATTCGCATTGCGACAGAGTTGCCTGGCTTCCCTCAAGTGCTGAACCACTCTACTCTGTGCGTCAGAGAGACCTCTCCCAGGGAGGTACGCAAACTGGGGCAGTGGCTTCATGTACGGCACTGTGAGAGGCTCCAGGAGCTCCTTGGCCGTGCCCGCCAGTCCCTTAGCATCCGGGCGAAGGATGCCCAGTGGCCTTAGTTGGGAAGGCTTGTCTGCCGGTTTACCCGGTTTTGGTATGAGGCAAAGATCCGCGCGAGTCAGATCGTCGTCCAGGGACTGGTCCTGCGCCAGACTGGAACAGTACTGTGAAAGCGCCTCTGAGACCGGCTGAGCGCAAAGTTTCCAGGCTGCGGCCGGTGCCGCTCCTTTTGGAACTGCCTTGCCAGGTTTGATCGAGGCAATGTGCTTCGCTAACTTGGTCTGTGGCAAGAGGGGCAACAGTCCCGAGTCTGACGGAAGCTGTGGATGCGCCGCGAAGACCTTGGCTGCATACTGCCCCAGTTCATCCAGTTCGTTCGCTGGACTGAGCAGGAAGCCCTGCTCGTCCTTGAGCTGTGCTTTCAAGGCCGGTTTCCACGGACGGAGATGCTTGAGAGTCTGATATGCAAGGTGCTGGTCGCCCTGGCTTAGAGCCTGATCCACCTCAGCAAGAAACCGCTTTGTTTGGCATTTTCGAGCCTGCTTAACCGCTTGTTTATGCTGCTCACACAGGGTTTGCCGGGCCTCATCATCCGGCGATGACTCTGCCCTGGGGTGAGCATTGCTCCCACGCGCAGAGCGCCACACCTAGATGTCGCTTCGCCAAGGAGACGATCCCAAGACGCCGGCTGCATGTCCGGGGTGAGGCGTGCTTTGACCCACTCGAGCATTTGCTGGGCTGG